TAGGCGCTGTGTGGGGAGGCGGTGGCGGCGTGAGCGGAGTGAAGTTCGTCATCCTCAAAACAGATCTCTTTCCCCGTGCTGACCTTGAACTGGCTTTGGGTGCTAGTTGGCTGACGTCATAAGCTGACTTGATTTGGTAAAAATACCAAAAATTAACCTCCTTAGAAGTGTTTTTTTTTTTTTTTTGGTCAGGTTCACAAGCTGCCTCGGTTTATTCGGAGCCAGTGGAAGGTAGGCAGCCCTTGGCTGCAGGTCGGTCATTGCTTTAAGCTGACCTAATGCTGGTGTGCAGCCAAATGGAGGATCTGCCTCCTGTCACTTGCCTTTCACTGGTATAAATGCTCCGTGACTGTGCAGTCAGAGCAGGGGAATCAACGTTTTTATTTGTTGGGTTTTTTTTTTTCTTGCTAGATCAGAGCAAGTATTGGTGTAAAAGATGCTTGTAAGAACTTGCAGCTGGGGGAGGAGAACGCCCCCCCCCCTTGCCCCGGACCTTGGATGGATGCCCACTCTTGTGTCTGAAACCGTTTGTTGGGCTCAGCCCCAGTCCTTGTGTGAGAGAGGAGAAAAGTATTCTAGTTTTTACTGGTTTTGACTTGTTCTGTGGTTATAATGTTCTGACTGATCTAGCCCTTTCTTGTTTTGGAGATACCTTCAGTGTGGCCATTTAAAGGGTTGTTGGGAGCTTTTTTTGCAGTGAAATGTTTTAATCAAATTGGGTACTGGAGAATATATTGCATTCGACATACCCCTTGCTCTACAAGCAGCTGTGAAGCTGGCTTCCCTATCAGGCTTGTGGATTTACTTGGTTTAATCACTGTGGAAGACTTGAGAGGTATTCAAACCTTTAAATATGTTGTGCTACGGTGTTTTGGACTAATTGGACATCTAGACATAAAAAATTGTTTTAGCTAATTAGACATCGCTGAGGACTGCTTGGCTGTGTGTGGAACATCATGAACTTGAGACAAATTCAGATGTGACTGCCACAGAACACCCAGCTTTCACAAAGAAATTTGGTGAATTTTAGCATTGCAGAATCAGTGACAGAGAGGGAGATCAAATTCTTTCTTATGGACTTTTTTTGTAATAATAATCTTTCAAAGGTCGTTTTGAGAATCAGTGGCAGTACCCCTTTGTTCATGCTTTGCTCGAACTTTGTTGTCTGTGTTGTGTTTCTGTCTTACCAGGTTAGTCTGTTATTCGCCATGTGGTCAGAAAGGACGTGTCCATTGGTTACTTTTGGAAAGTTACCAGAAACAACAAGGTTGTTGAAGTAACAAGGAAAATTGCACCTATACACAATTAAGGAAAGTTTCAGTTTGTATTTTTTCTGTTGTTGAATGAAGGTATGTTGCTGTTGTTGAATGAAGGTATGTTTCAGACAACGGTTAATTCATATCATGTGTAGTGGTCGGGGTGTTTTTAAAAATAAAAATCTGTATGAATGAAAAATGTCTGTTTTTTCACATTTTCGGCTTGAAATTTGAAAAATAGTGACTCTGATCTAGTGGTTAAAAACAATGTTTTTGGTTATTTTATCTTTCAAATATATATATATTTTTTTTAACTAACTTTGATTAGAGATCATCCTAAACATCCTAATAAATATTACAGACTCTTACATTTGATGTTTGAATGACCTTTGCTGTCTGTGGTCCTGTATCAAGTACCTGTTTGCTCTTCAAGTCAGTACCTAAACACTATGGAGAAAGTAGTAAGCGGACACAAGCTAAGTGTGAGATTTTGGAATGTGTTCCGTCTTGTATTGAGCAAATTGCCAAAGCAGTGGGAAACTATGGGGAGTTGTGTTCTCCCAAGGCTGCCTGCGTTTGGAGGTATTTTCAGTATAGCTCAGTCCTGGACGTGTCATGGCAGTCTGGGTGCACGTTGACTTTGTCTTGTAGGCACATGCTGGCACACACCAAACAACAGCTGGAAAGGTGTATCTGGAAAGAATCGTTATTGCTGTAATTTTACAATTTTGTTGTTTGCTTAACTTTGCAGTCATCTGTGCTTTGCTTGGTAGCACTGCTATGGCAGATGTAGGGAGAGTTGATAGCTCTCAGATCCTGTTTTGTCATCATGCAACTAGTGACTGCTCTGTAGCCTGTGCTTATTTCTGCGAGGGGTATGTATTTTATTTGCCTGCACAGCCCCTGCAGCCTTTAATAACGTTATTAAGATAACGTTAGTGATATAATGTCATCCGACCCTCTCTGGGTTGTAGAGGTAGAAGATTAATTTTCCCTGTAGGTGTCACCATTATGCCACGTAGAAACAGCTTAAAATCTAGAGAAGATGAATGACAGGGTATTGGATGCTCAGTTCAGTTTGGTTATGACACCTGCGTCGTCTTTAGAAACATGAGATGTCTTCTCATATTTTACATCCCTTGAGCTGTATTTCTCAGATAGCTTTTTATATTTTCCTAGTTTAGATCTAGAAAACTCCCTCTAGTTTCTTTAGTTAATCAAGCCGATTTCAAAGGATTTTGAAGTTGACTTCCTATCAAGAAACTGGGAAAATGTTTATGAAGTGATAGGGCTACTTGAGAGTTGTGATGAGAGGTGGGTGTTACTGAGTTAAAGGACCACCTGTTGGAGAATAACTCCTCCCACTCAGTCTTGCAAATATTGTGCTACAGTGGGATTGTAGTAGTTCAGAACTTGCAAACCCAAGCAGTTCCTCCAGCCACCTGGGGAGCAGTGCCTGATCCTGATGCGGGGGTTTTTGTGTGTAAATACGTGGCCTTTCAAGTTATTCTTTATTTTAACAAAAGGTCAGATAGCACATTTTCCCAGAAAAAAGCCTCATTGTGTATAGGAATTATATACTTGAGTGAGTGATCACCACTTTGCTGTAATAGCAATGTCCATTAATCCAGCTGGCAACGCAGTCCCAGAGTGTTTGATTCAGTAAGTGTACAGTGGTGCCATGTATTGATGTCCGGTAATGAGACTCTAAGTAGAAGCAATTCAGCTTCATCTGTGCTAATAAACTAAGTGCATCCAGGAACTAAATGAATCCTGGGCCCTGTGGCCAACTGGCAGAAAACGGCCTTCGTGCTTGTCAACTGTCTTGCCTTCCAGAAGAGGGTGGCTCGATGCAAACTGCCTACTGGGAGTTGTTCTTGGACTGTTTTGTGTGCTGAACCATGCCGGGAATTATCTAGGAAAATGCGAATTGGCACAGCCCAAATTCATTCCAGGGAAATTTCTAACAAATTACCCGCTGGGATAAATAGTTTCCAGTGCTTGGGCATGTCTGAATTTACAGTATAGATGTAACGTTCATATAATAGAATAGATTTGTAGGGTGGAATAAGGCAAGTGGTGTGTACCTTCTCCCTGCTGCTTGGATGTGGACCTCTGTTATTCCTCCAAATACTGCTCTATAATGAGCAGAAGTGTTTCTGGACCCGCTCCTTTGTGCCGGTAGATGGAAAAGGTATTCAGCACCTTCCAGGAAGCACCCAGTGAGTTGCAGGATCAGACTCTGGGAGATGTCCACTGTGCCAAAATTGTTGTATACATGTAAAGAACTGGGGATGAATTTTCTAGTTCCAGAACAGTGGGCTCTCTTACGTGCAGAGGTGAACTCCACCCATGGGTGCACCAGGCGATTGCTCAGCACCTCCCCAAAACCTATAAAGAGCCTCAGCTCCCCTCTGAGTTGAAACAGCTCTCACCCTCTGGGCCTGTAGACCTTTCTTGGTCTGCTGAGACCCTGTGCTTGTCTGTTCTCGCTGTTGTACTCTGTTTCGTTGCTTCAAGAGAAATAACATGATTTAGAGTTGCCTAACTTTTAAATTTATGTTAAACAGAAAAATTTAAATAAAAGTAACAAGTATACTCCATCAGGGCAGAGTCTTAGTTCTTGATAGCAAAACTGTGAAGTTTTAGAAGATGTGTGCGAAAACAAGACAAAGGAACATTAGCTTCTGCCTGCGCTGTTCTCTTGTTCTGGAGTTACTGAAGATGTTAAGCTCGGGGCCAATTTGGCAGGGCTCTGCCTCCAGAGCAGAACTGCAGCCTTGGATTTCTCTTCTGTTTGCACCCAGGATATTCTGGTTGCTGCTGAATCCAAGCAAAGCTTTGTGGTCTTGTTGTGGTTAGGCTGAACGGAGAGCATGTTGGAAGTTATCTGAGAAAGACCCCTCTAGGTAGGATATCATGTTTATCTCATCCTTATTTTTCTTTACCCTGAGCAATTCAGGTGATCGCAGTTGTAAGCTACATTGTAGATTGCAAACGGCGTACCGTAAACCTGGTTCTCTCTGTGGCAGTTTCCAGTAGTTTTTGTCTTCTTGCTTTAGAGTTCACCCATGATCCATCAAAACGTGCTGTAGGTGTGAAACAGTTGTGAGGTTTGTCCCACTGTGTTACGTTTTACAAAAGTTAATTTCTGCTCTTGAAGATGTGAATGTCTGATCCAGTTCAGCCACAGCTTCTGTTCTGGGACAGGTATTGCTGGCTGAGTGATGCAGAGAGTGAGACTTAGTGATCAAATAGCAGCAGCCACTTCAGCATAAAAAGCTGGGGCAAGATCTGAAAAAAACCCAGCAGAACTATAAATCTTAAGAGAAATCCAGTGAGGGTAAAGATTCCCTTGAGCAGGTGTTCAGAAGTATTTGGAGATGGAGACTGCTGTGATAATGGGGGATTAAAGGAAAAATATTGCAGAAGTGAAATCCCTAAGAGTGAAATGCAGATGCTTTCCTCCGGCATAGCCACAGAGATGGTGATTTACCTTTTAGGGATGACTCAGCCCCACATAGCGGAGCCCAGCAGACAAGGCGCTGGGTTAGGATGCAAGACTAGTGTGGGTGAGAAGTGATTCACAAACATTTCCTGATGCGCACCAAGGCAAAACCAAAACCTTTCAAAAGCTCTTTGGTGAACAGTGAAACCCTGCAAGATATATGTGTTTGTATGTGCTGTTCCTTAGCCTTGTCTGATTTCATGCAGGGGGCTGTCCCTAGTTAATGCACTAACAACCTGCCTGGTCTAGTCCTGGTGGCTATGACTGCATCTGTGTATGTGAGTGTCTTTCTAAAACTTCATCTGCATCGTTTTCTTCATCTTTTTTGACTATAAATTATACAAGGTGGTTCCTAATCAGAGTTTCTTGGAAAAGGAGGCATTTCCAGAAAATGGGCTGGTTCTTCTAGACCTGCATTTCTGCTGAAATCCATTTTACTGTGTTATTCTTGACCAGCATTGGGTAGCTAATCTGAGTTTAGACCCAGCTTTGGACAGGTTACTTTTCTGTGCCTTGGATTTTGTAGCTGAAAATCAGAGATAAGAATATTATTCTTCACAAACTACTGGGGAGGGCATGCATTATATAAATAGCGGTTTTATTAATGGTCAGGAGTTGCTATTGTTCTGGATATCTTTTTCATACAGTGCTGCTACAATTGGACAGCCCTCCTTTCTTCAGTTTGGCCTACCGAGCTGTTTGTCTAAAGCCTTAATGAGCTTCCTGTATCTTTTCAAAATGTGGGTTGTAACCGCTTCACAAGGCATTAGTTAAGAAGTCTGTCACTGCAGCCCCGGTTTAATTTGATCTGTCCCTTCACTTGTTTCCATTAAAACCCATTTAATTACAAAAGCTATCTTGTTCTCAGGGTAGTCATCTCTATTGGAAATAAATGGGCAACAAAGTCTGTGAATCAGCTGACAACACATGAGAAATGACCAGGAGCCTGATGGTCAGGCCCTCCAGCATGGGGATAGAAATTATTAAGAACTGTTCTTATATCTCGGCATATCCACCAACATGAAGGGAAAAGAAAACCAAAGCTGTCAAAATGCGGTTTAGTTTCTTTGCTGCATGCGGGTAAAAAGAAAAGACTGACAACCTGCCCTGACCTTTACTATGTGTAACCCTGCTGAATGGGGCGCAGTTGCTGTAATGCAGTGATATCTCTGTTAGGTTGTCTCCAGGGACTGATGGGAACTTGCAAATTTAATGTGATTGCTGCTTGAGGTAAGACTTCAGCTATGAAAATATGTTTTTCTAGCCAAGTTACTTAAATCAAGTGTGTTTAGCTGAACTGCGAACTCCATTTAATGTGAATGTTGCTCACCAGGTAACATCTCAGTTTCAGCGTTAGCAGGTTGAGTTGTAGCCTGAATTTCCCATCCAGGTCATAACACGTGAGAAGCCATTTTTACTTGGTCTTGCCTAGAGACTAAACTGTAGTTCTCTGAAATCCTGTCTCTGGGGCAAGATTCCCCTCCTCTAAAGGCTTGTTCCTGCCTTTCTCACCGTCCCTTCACCTGTGCTGTCCCTCTGTGTCTGAGACCACATGGTGAAATGGGACAGGAGCTGATCCTGGCTTGTGATAACCTTTTGTCGCCAAAAA